AGGTCACCCACTAGTTTTTGAAGTCTCGTTTTGAAGCCATCACTGTCCTGGTGTTATGAAACTGAATGTGACAAGCGGTCAGACTGGTCAGTCAGAAGTGGTTAGCCAATGAACATATCTGGGATAATCCTCCTTTCTGATACTTAAATTGAGAAAAAATTAAAATAAATTCAGTGTTTCAGTATGAAATTACTGACTGTGACCATAAACTCAGCAGGAAAGTCTTTGCTGAGGTCAGTCTGTAGACTTCCATAGGACCATACGTTTTCTTGCCCTCTGATAGCCATTGCAAATAATGCACGCTTAAGGCAGTTTCTTATTAGTTTTCTTTTTCAGTCCCGACAGATACGCCCAGGGTGCGATTGGCTGGGGGAAACAGAGTTTCAGGGAAACAGGTCCCTTGCCTTAGTTTTTAGCACTTCATCTCTAAACAGTCTACAGCACAAACAACAATTAAATCAGAAAGCATGTTTCACTTTGAGTGTCCCCGCAGTCCTGTAAGTTTAGAAAGGAAATTGTTGGGGGGGGCGATCCAGATTTCATTCCTTTTCATTTGTTTTTCACGCTGTTGCATTCTGAGATGATTTCATATTAAACCTGGAATTGAAATGACATGGCTGGCACTAAGTAGAAGAGGAATTTAATTCTGGCATGTCAAATGATTTGTATTATTGTGTGGGACTGGGAATATTATACACATTAATATCTTAAACATAAATTGCGATATTATAAATGCTGTGGTAAAGCTCTAAACTCACAAGATCACAAAGGTTACATTGAAAGAAATAATAAATATTTTTAAAGGCTGCAGAGCAGGTATTGTAGTGTAAACTATGGTTCCTGAATTATTTTAATTAAAAACAATAGACTAACTGATGTAGTTACTCTATTGGTACTTTATATTTCTAAAGATTCTACATATATAAAGTGGGTGTAGCCACTGTAACCTCATTTTGAAGCCTCTGTGTTTTGACTGCTATCATATTAGTTTTTTGAGCCAGATATTAACATATTTGGATGAGACAATGGATTGGTAATTTATCAGCTAACAACAGCCGTCGTTCTTAGCTGACTAATCTGAATAGATACACAGACACACATCTGCTAATTAGTGTTTGGTAACAATGCTGCAACTTCACCCATGAGAACTAAAGCACAAACTTCTTGGATGGTCGGTACCAGTGGATTTGAAACTAGGAGACAGGTCCCATTTGTGGCTTGGATCTACTGCAAGTGGGGCAAAGATGAAGAGAGGAAAAAAGTGAAGTCAATCTGAGTTGAATGGATATATTTTTGGCATTAAAAAACAGGAATTTGTTGACGAACTTGGTGGCAACTTGGCTCTATTTTTATTGGTAAGGATTGATGGAAATTGTAGGGTGTGGGGCTTTGTTTCAGGTTCTGAAGTGCAGCATGCAGAAGCAGGAAAGCAAACCAGTGAGCATAATTTCAAAAATACTTTGAAGTGTGCGCAGTTACTGTATCTGGGTGTCATTTGAACTAAAACATGAACTTTGTGAGCATTAAAAATCAGCCCTGCCTGGGAAATGTGTGGAAAAAAGCAGCTTAAATAGCAGTGTGCAATTGATTTGTCACTGCAGAATACATTTTTTAAAATGAGCAGAATTGCTGCACCGATTTTGTGAAAACTCAAGTCAGTCCTTTTGCAGAGCTCAGGCCAAACAACAAATATTGTGCAGTGAAATTATAAAAGCTGTAGTGCAATTTTATAATAAATCACGAATTTTTTTTCTATCTCATCTGAGTTTAAATATATCCTGCAAACTTATTGGTACGAATTATTATCTGCTCTTGTTCAAATCTTTCAAGAAACAAATTGGCTGGTGCATGTGTGGTTGTGTGTGCGTGTGGTTGTGTGTGCGCGCGCGTGTGTGTGTGCGTGTGTGTTTGCAACAGCTGTTACTAAGAAAGGTGTTTACATTTCAGAGCTTTGTTTTTTCTTTATATTTCTTTTTTATAATAAGCTAAAACTGCTGACACGCACACACGCACACACACACACACACACACACACACACACACACACACACACACACACACACACACAGTGAGCTTTTACTCTCATTAGTATTCTGTCTGAATTTATTGTCTTTCCCACTGACATTTACATTTAAATTGTTTATCTTTCAGTGTCTTGGTGTGTGTGTGTGTCTGTCTGTGTGTGTGTATGCGTGTGCGATACACACACACACGCGCATGTATCTGTGTGTGCTTGTGTGTAGCCAGTAATGAACATGCCTTTGCTGGTCCCTGAAGGCAGCCATTACTAACACTCTCTCTCACACACACACACACACACACACACACACACACACACACACACACACAGGATAATGTGGGAGGAGGAGGAAAGGGGATGCTGAATGTGTACCAGTATTAAGGTGCAGGATCTTAGATTTCCATTTGAAACCACAGGGATTTGCAGGTTGTTGAAGGTTGATGCTTTTTGGATTAAAGCTTCATTTGTGATGATTTTTATGACTTTCAACTCCCTTGGTTTTGTGCCAAAAATCATTCCGTTACCAGCGTTTATTCTAGAGTTTAAATCCAGTTTTCCGGTGTCTGGAAACTGGGGCATCTCAGATGAAAAATCTCTCAGCATCTGTCCAATTAAGACAGAAGAAGGCACCCAGTATCAGCACACTGGATTACACTGTGGATTAGCCAACAGACAACGTTTGGGTTCCTGCAGGGCAAAATGCTGTATATTTAGGGTTTTTCCTTCACAATGGGAATTTACACATCTTCCAAAAAGGTTTTAGTGAGAGCCAAAGGGAAATTATTTTTTAAGCAGTTTTGATAATCGGGCTTTTATTAAGTCAGGCATCCATCATCCATCATCATCATCCATTTTTCCAATAATGACAAAAAATATACAGATATTAGTGAAGATAATATAATACAGTCTTGCTGCCTTCACTGTAGTGTAATATAATTTTGTAGACACACCCAAAGAGCCATTCTGAGCCATCCTGATATCCATCTATCCATTTATTCATTTTCTGCTCCTCATCTGGATTAGGGGTGGTGAAGGTTGAAGTCAACGCAGACATGCCCAGTCCTCCCTCTCCCCAGATACCACCTTCAGGTCTTCTGTGAGGAAAATGAGGCGGTGCCAGGTCAGCTGAGTGTCCTGGGCTCGCCTTCCAGTTGTTCATGTCTGAAACACCTCACCAAGGCGGCATCATATTCAGAAGCCTGAACCACCTCTAATAATTACCGTAGCAGTTCTACTCTGAGCCCTTCCCAACTGACTGTGCGCCTCACCCTTTCTGAGCCGAGGCACCCTTCAGAGAAAGCTCATTTTCACCACTCGCATCTGCAGGCTGATGCTTGCAGTCATTACCCACAGCTTGTGGCTATAGCAGAGGATAGAAATGTGGATATATGCAAGAAAATCTATAAGATTGCTTGACTATATATATATTATAGTCAACCATTCAAATTTAGAAAATTCTTTCTTTTGTCAATATTCTAAGGTTGGTAATTAAATCGGATCAATTTGGATTTGATTTGTGAAATACATAGAAAATATCCAAAAAAATAGTTTATTCACTTTATTCTTTATTATTCACTTTACATCATATTTAAACATTTGAACAAATAATTATGTCACTGTACACACAGCAGCTTTTTCAGCTTGTATCAATTACAAATTTTGTGCACAGTTGGACATTAGGAACAACAGGAATATTGTGCAATGGGATACTAATCGAACAGTAGGATTGTAAAGGGAGTAAAGGCAAGGAGGTGCAGTCATTTCCAAACTCCCAGTCAGGGCAGGAAATGGCTGCAGCTCCAAACCTTCCTCCCCCAGAATCCAGAGGAAGATGAGAAAGTGTCTGAAGATTTTTGTTGGGCTGACACAGGATGAAAAGCTGCTCATGTAATCAGACAAACAAGGACGACTCATTCGCTCAGACTGTGATAAAGTGTGTCTTTTTGTGTTTGTACAAAATGGAAAAAAAAAAAATCTGAGAACACCAAGTGCAAAATGTAAAAACTGATAATCAAAAATCATTTTCTGATGTGTGTGCGCACGCATTGCTGATTGGTTGGCAGTCCATCTGGCTGCTTTTGTCTATAGGCATGCTGCCCCTCATGTCAATTATGCGATCACGCGTGAAGACTGTGTGTGTGTGTGTGTGTGTGTGTGTGTGTGTGTGTGTGTGTGTGTGTGTGTGTGTGTGTGTGCATGTATGTTTGCGTGTTTTTGTGAAAACGGGGGAGGGTGTGAGAAGGGGGGATCCAGATGTTACGTTTATTCTCATTCTCCTCCATCATCACATTTAATTTAATCCATTTCCCTCCCCCACAGCATTGTACAGCAAGCCATCTGTACACACACACACACACACACACACACACACACACACATGCAGCCTCCAGCATGCTAATGCTAATGTGTGTTAGCCCAGCCAGGTGGCTGGGTGGCCTCAAATGGGTCCTTGTGCACCTCTGGCTCTGTGCTGATTGGAGTGAATGCAGCTGCTATGAAATTATGTAGATCTGTTCGCCACTGTCTAAGTGGGTCACTCAGTGTGTGTGTGTGTGTGTGTGTGTGTACTACATCTTGTGTATTTTGGTGGTGCAGTCTTGTTAAAAGCATGTTTTTTATTGAAATTGTGCTGTACGTTTGGAAAGAAATTCCCTGATGATAGCTGGCTACAATAAAAACTGTTTAACAGCTATTTTAAAATGATACTGGCATGAATATTAATTACATTTACAGATAAAGTCTGATTTGGCATACGCAGAGTGGTCTTTGCTCCTATACTGGATTCGGGAAGACATTAACATGTTGGGAAACATGTACCAGTGGTGCAAATCTAATGAATAAATCCTCTCAGTGTCTGTAAACAATGACCACACTGCAGATAACAACATAACTGAAGCAGAGAATAGAGCCGGTCTTCAGCTGTTTGGCTCTTATCTTTTAATTCTCATACCTTCTCTTTCTTTGTCATTTGCTCCTGCAGAAAAACATGATGTGAATGGAAACAGGACTGTTCCACCTTTTCCAGAGGGAACAGAGATGGCCATGTTTGGTAAGTGTCTCCAAACACATACAAGGAAATTGATGCAGTTTAGCTTAAATGCTGATATGACCTAAAACCTGCATTGCAGCTTATTGTAATTGTAATTTCAGTGATTTCAATTTCAATCTTTCCTGCCTTGTTAACTTCAGTATTTCTTGTACATGCACAAGCCACAAAAAGGGGAAAATATAGTCATGTACACATACAAACAGAAAGTGGAGGGCTTCCTATTGATGGTCACGTTGACTCACATGAACTTAAGCATAAATGAAGCATTAGCTACCTACTTCTTCTCTACATGTAATATTAGACTAGTCACCCAATGTAATGCTGAAAATTAATTGAAAACATGCTGAAAAATAAACTCCAGTTATGAACCAGGCTTGCTTTTAAAACTCACAGCCATAGGCTTGTATGTTACGCCCAGATTTTTGCATTTTTAATCTGAATATATTTCATCACGGGGTTAGTTGCTGCATCCTTACCATTCCTGGATATATCTGTGAAATTTAAGTTAGCTATATAACACCAGATTCAATTTTTGTAGTTATTCTTTTTGCACTGCTGTTTTTAGACCTATAGCTGCAAACACTCTGCTTCTCTTCTCTTATAATTTGTGTAATTCACCTTCCAGAATAAGACAAAACATATATAAGGTTAGCCTACAAAATTAGCATTGCAAATAAAAATAAAACACATGCATACATATATAAATTATACTGTTTCATGTTGCTAGTACCAGATTTGCTTCATTGCACAGATTCAACAAGGAGCTGGAAGTTTTCCTCATTTGATCCATATTGACACGAACACGTTACACAATTTCTGTAGATTTGTTGGCCACAAATCCATGATGATGGTTCCACCAGATCCTACTGGATTATTGTACTTACCGTTCCCTTCGATCAGCTCAAAGCAATCTGACTATTCTCCTCTGATCTCTGGCATCAAGAAGATATTTTTATCTAGAGAACTGGACGGATATTTTCTAGGTATTCTCCTATTTTCAGCTCATTCTCTGTAAACCCTGGAGATGGTTGTGGGGTAAAATCCTAGTTGCAATTTTTGAAATACTAAGGCACATACAATCATGCCGTATTCAAAGTTACTTGAATGTGTCTTTCTTTCCACATTCAGAAAAAGCTGTTTTTCACCCCTCACTTTTGTCCGTTTCTACACAGTGGATGTCTCTTCCATAGTGAGACGTCTTATCATGCTAATCTGAAAACTGGAGTTATGCAAGTAAAATAAAGTTTGTAGTTTTTAGCTGTGGATATAAGACTCTGTAAATATGGGTTTACTATAAAAGTCTGAGAACCGGGGTTATGCATGTAACCTGCAGTTTATTTCGGATTTCTGTATTTCTTTTTGTTTGTGTTCATCATCCACAGTTTGGTCTAAAGCACGCAAACAGTTCCTATCAAATCCACGTCATGAGATTTATGATTTTCTATTGACTACACTAAATGGATCTCCAACCGTATTACATGACACATGAAAAAACAATTAAAAGAAACAAATGTAGAAAGAAGAAAATAAGTAATTTACCATCCACCGTACAAACTCGACTCCCAGTCAAACGGCATCTCATTTTCTGTATTTGTCTGCCTTTATTCTTCATGTAAATGCTCACATCAAAGTCAAACATCTGAATCTTTGTGAGTTTTCTCTGCCAACAGAAGGTAATGAGGGACTCAAGTCAGTAAATACTCCCACAGATGTGATGCATGGTGTGACCTGGTCTTTACTGTCTTGTTAAATTGGATTGGTTGTTAAAGACTGCTGTTATTTGTTTTATTTGTTTTATTTATTTATTTATTTTTTTCCCCTCGAAGGTATGGGCTGCTTCTGGGGTGCAGAGAGGAAGTTTTGGAGGCAAAAAGGAGTTTATTCTACCCAAGTGGGCTATTCTGGGGGTTACACATCTAACCCCACCTACAAGGAAGTTTGCACAGGTACCCTCTGCTTACCAACACACACATAATCATGTGCTTTCTACTGTGACTCAATAAATTGTGGAAAACAAGACACACATAAACAGAAGAGTGAATCATTTCCCACAGGCCCTATTATACTGGGGCATGGATAAGGCTGCTATTCATGCCTGACCACTCTGAGGAGGAGCTGTGTGTGTGTGTGTGTGTGTGTGTGTGTGTGTGTGTGTGTGTGTGTGTGTGTG